AGAACAGAGTCCAAAAATAGGACTGTACTTTTTATTAAGGAAAAAATAAAAAAATTTTTAAAAAGGAAAAAAAAGTCATGTGAACCAAATCAAAGCACACTGATATCACAGCCACTGCTCTCATCCGCTTCAAGGAATGCTTTGGCTAGAACAGCCTGCAGAAATGATCCTATTCCTTCCCTTGCCCTCCAACATAACCTCTACTACCTGCAGAGAGTCAGCACCAAAGCAACACCCTTTAAGGTTTCAGTCTTAGCAGTTTAAATTGAAGTAAATTCAGTTATTTAGAGACTGCTTCTTCAGATAGACTGATTTGAAGTTGTTGGAAGGGAAAAAAGAAAGGAGATCTAGTTCCTCCTTGACCACTTAAGTTTCTCCTTCTTCAGCCACAGTGCCTAAAAAATAAAAAAACTATTACTGTACCAAAGAAGTTACGTACAAATAAAAGTGGATGTTTCACTGCTGTGGTCCATGATAAAAATGTAAAGTATAATTATTATGAAAGGAAAACTCCTTTCTAGGACTTTTCTAATTAGACTGCCCTTTCTTGCATCTCTACCATATTAAACTTAATTTCTCTCTCCTCCAGTTGAGCATGTCTCTCTATTTCTGCATTGTCATTCTCAAGGCAGACACCTGGACTGCTGCAGAAGGAGATTTTAATCTCCAGTAGCGCAAACTGATCGCTTCGTTTCCCTAGGATGACAAGCATCTCTTTACTCTTTTTCTCCTCCTGATTGTTAGCAGACTCTAGTACTCAATCACCAGCAGCAAAGAAAATGTCAAAACCAGCAGAAAAGCCCAAGACAAAACACTGGAAACAGAGAACAGCTTTTCCAAGGCTGAGATGTGAAACTGTAAACACCATGCATATTTCAAGCAAATTTACTTTTACTCTCTTCAACATGGGCAAATAACCAGTTAAATTCGAATCCAGATCTGAACATGATGAGACAAGAACCCTGGGAAAGCAGAGACAATTTCAGCTACGGGTCACAAATACAAATACCAGCCTCTTGCAGAGAGAAGAAAGGTTATTAACTGAATACTCATAAACACCGACTGCATGCACTTATATCACCTCTTTCAGACAAGTAAAAAGCAGATGGGCTTGTAGCATGAATCTGGGGGGGGGAGCAGCTAGCTTCCAAGTAATCTTATACTTTTTCCTCCTTATAGACATTCCCAGACTATTTCAACATAGAGAAAATCTAACCATTGAAAACAGGATCTGCAGAGCTTGAGAAGAAATACATTATTTGGGAGGAGGGGTGGGAAAGGAAAAGGAAAAAAATCCTTACCAACTGACTGGCCTTACTGTGCACTTTTCCAGGAGACCAAGAATTGCTTCTGATGCAGCAGCACTCAGCCCTGGAGAAGTCAGACAGAGCAAAAAGGGAGGGGAGGTACGAGAAGGGAAGGGAGGGGAGGGGAGGAGAAAAGAGGAGGAGAAGGGAGGGAAGAGGAGGAGAAGGGAGGGAAGAGCATGTACACTGCATGTCAGTTTGTTGAGCCCTAATATTGCCTTTGGGAAAAGAGAAGAAGGAAGCTACTGCTAAATCAGGCTGGGAATTGGTTTGTGATGGCTGAAGATGGTAAAGGAATGAGATCTTAGTACGATCAGGAAGAAATGTGTGTCCTCTCGTGTGTCCCTTTAGAGAATCTGAAGTACCAAACATGCTTATTATTCAAAAAAAAGAGATCCTACTAACACTTAAAATCAAGCAGGGTAAATGTAAGAGCTGCAGCCCAACCTGTCACTGCAATGACAGTGAAAAAAGTGAGAGACAGAGGCTATCCAGAAGCAAGCAAGATTTCCTTCCTTTCCTACAATCCTCCAAACTCACCCTGCAAATCTAAGAGACTGTAAACTAGATGGAGTAGTCATTTCACCTCTTCATTCACGTTTACGTTGCCAGCTGCTTCCAAACACAACATGCAGTGCACTGCAGACATTCCTACTTGGAAGACTGTCACCCCAAATCAGTAAAACAGACCAAGGGGAAGGAGAACAGCATACACAATGGCCAGAATCATAGTATCAAAATATTTTATGCACGTGAACATAAAAATACGCCAGCTGTTCTCTTGCCAACCAACCAACCATTATATCCTAGTCCGACACTACCATTGAAAGTTAGCTGAATTACAATTTTAGTGCCTGCAGGGAGAATGGGAGGGGAACATTCATTGTTTCAACACATCATCCCACATCACCACGTCTCTGCAGGACCGGGATGCAAAATCAAAAAGTGACTTCACATCTCAGAGGCTCTATCTCTAGTATCCCAAATTTCCCATTCCTCACAAGCCACACTGACTTCTCGAAATCTACTGCATAGCTATCCAATTTATCAACCTTTATTCCCTTAAGCTAGCAATTTTGCTTCTAGTTAACTGTTGTCCACCATCCTTGCTCAGATGCTTTCCTGGACCTACAAGCCTCCCGAGCCCACAAAACAACCTGAAGTCTTGCACGCATGCAGAACCTCGGCAGGTCTTCCAGCCGCATCGTGGCTGCACAGCATGACGCAGCAAGTGGTCCCACTGGATGACACAGCTCTGTAAAACTCTGACTTCACACATCCACAATGGGGCAACAGGAAGGGCTCAGCTGACCCCTTACCTTCAACTGGCTACTTCCCTCCTGGCAAAGGCTGACTCCAATCCAAAAATCGAGGAAGATCCCAAATTACAGGGTGCCAAGGGAAGAGACAGCACCAGAGACACTACAGAGTTTTTCAGGTCTGCCCCTGAAAAGCTGACTCCTGTGAAGCTCTCCTCTGCTTCTGGGCCACAAAAAAAACCCCAGACAGGCTCTTCTGGTAGCTTCTTAGTTTTAAGTAAGCTCTTAGCAGCTGTAGGAAAGACCCATCTTCACACTGCTCAGGAATAACACAAAAAATGAACCCCCTACTGTCACAGCAACATAACTCACTGGAGACTCCCAGGTTTACACATTGCCCTTATGCCTCTCGCAAAGTATTACTGACAACTTGATCCAGCATACAGAGCCCCTGTGGCAGATGCTTATCTTAAAAAAATGCAAACCACTTGCCTGATGGCTGACAGCCTGCCAGGTGGCTCTCCCCCAGCCCTTCTCAGAAACACACACGCACTCTCCCACCCTCACCCCACGCCCTGCTCCCAGCACTGCCATCCCCAGAACACCATCCCACGGACTCGGAACAAACTGAGAAGCATGCCACTCAGTAAAAATGAACATTTTCCTTATAGGAAAAAAAAATACAATAAACCCATATATTCCCTTCCTCCACATAAAGCCACAAGCCCAGTAGGTCCCCAACCCCATCCTCAGAGCAACTCACAATGGGTTAATGCAGCTACATTAATTCGGCTGGAAAGGATTCTCATCACCTTGTCTCTTCCCTCGCCTCTTCTGCTGTTTCAAAAATAGCTCTGGCTTGTTTGCTGTACCGCTTATGTCAGTCTGATTTTATGCCTGACTGGATGTATACAGACAAGCTCATAGCCCATTAAACACCGACTACCCAGATCTGTACATACATGCACAGGCACACAAACACAAAGCCCAGCCCCCTCCCTTGGAGGCCATGCTGGAAAGCTGCTTGTTTTCAGCAGCTTTGCACTGTATTAAGTATGTTTATAGCAGGCCTTAAATGGGGGCTAGACCACAGCCTTTTCTGAGGGGAGAAAAAAAAAAAAAAAAAAAGAGCAGAAAAGCAAAATAGCACTACCATCCATCTGTCTTAAAGGTGCAAGTAAGGACCTTCCCTGTGATGAGAATACTTTGAAATGTGAGTGCATATCAACTGACCTAAGGTCATGTGGCTGCATGCTGTTAGTGTTTCCATCCATTAAAGACAAACAAACCCTCCCAAAGGCTTTGAAAACTATTATCCACCATTGCCAGGAAGGGAAAGGATATAGGAAGGTGCAGATGTGCAGAAATTCTGGAACAACTACTCTTAAAAAACACTTCAGGTAAAGTCCTGAAATATGAGAAACTGTCTGAATGAGATTTTTCCTACTAGCACTTTTTAATCACTGGGTTTTCCTAAACGGCTTTTCTCTTTAGAATCAATCAACTTGCTGGAGCCACTTCACTAATCTGAGATTAACTCCATTCAAATCTGGCATCCTTCCCAAACCCAGTAATCTAAAGCTCAGCCACCTTTAGCATAGTTCTACCTTCAAGACCCAGCTCATCGGCTGTGAGCTGCCTCTGTGATGTATTTTTAAACGAAACTCTCTCAGCTTGCCATGACTCAGGAACATTGGGTACCATGAATTGAAGATTTCCACAAGGAAATGCAGCACAAAGAAATCTTGATTGCTCATTCTATCCATGTTCCTGTATAGCTACAAAATCCAATACGCATTAGCTATTTTATAAAAATAAATTAGTATCTACTGACATTTCTGTATGAAGTGCTCCCCAATGACTTATCTGCTAATAACCCTCCGAAATTTAAGAGGAAAAAAACATGTACCATTTCCAGCAGTCACTAGAGTATGAAGATAACATTAAAAAGATGAGCCTCTCAGGCACAGTATTTCTTGTTATGAGTGTTTGCTTCTAAATGCAATTCTGTATGTACATTAACAGGAAAGAACATACAAACAAAACATCACCATATAGCAACATATTAGCATCTTAACACACAGCGTATGAAAACCTGTTATAATTTGACATCTGAGGACCTCTTCCAATTTCAATGGCAATCCAACAAACCATACAGGCAAAGAACTGGAACAGACTGCCTGGGGAAACTGGAGTCCAATCACATAGGTCTTTAATGTCAACATCCAAAATGAATCGGTAAAAGTCACCCCGGTACAGAGGGGTGACATAGATGACTGCCCAAGATCCCTTTCCAACTATATGGTCCTGACTTCCTGCTTTTTGGGGGGCATTCCTTTCCTCCTAGCAATGCCTCTTACCTTTCACTCCTATTAGTATCACACTTAGAAATAAGCTTTGAATAAAGTATGAAAATTAAACATTGTCTTCTTACCCATCCTCCTTGTTGAATGATATAGTCTGCAGAATAGTCTTCTAGATATGTCACCCCAAAGTTCACGAGCGCACTCAGTGGTTCCTGGCCTCGTCTGGTTAATTCCATCAGAAATTGCTGTAGCAGAACCAGGGGTACCAAGACCTTCAAAAAACAAGAATTGTGAATAAATACAGAAAGCATTACTACTGTGTAGGTAAAACAGAAGAATTCATGTGCTCCACAGAAAAGGCCTGAAGCTACAAGTCCAAAGATATCAGGGACTATACACTTCATTTTTGTGAGGACACAAGGCAGAAACACAATACAATTCAGTAACAAAGAAGCACGTAGTCTGTTAAGCCAAACACCACAGCTGAACTTGAGAGTTTCACAAACGGGACTGCAGCGCTTTCTTCAGCCCCATTTTTTTCCAGCACAACATTCAGGTAAAGAAGCAGAACAGGTTGAGAACTTGCTACCCCAGAAGTGGAAAGATGCAACATTATATATAGTTTGAAGGGTTATGCACCCAAATTGTATTTAAACAGCAAACTCATACACATTCTCAAATAGATGCACTGCACTGGACGGTCTCTTTAGAAATTCACACTTGGCTTTCAGACGGGACAGAAACAAACAACTCCTGCCAGCAGCACAACATTACAGACACATTTAAAATGACAAACACAAACCACTCTCCATGTTAAACTCTCTCTCCTATACCAAATTTAACACATCCGTTCCTCCTTCCAAACCTTTTAACTGAATGCTCCGCCTTAACCCAAATGTGAATTGCTCTGGAAGATGTAGCACTCTGTGAACCCACCTCCTTCATATTACAGAGTTCTAGACACTTCCTTATGAAATTATGTTTTTGTTTGCCTAAATGACATGCAGTTGAACTTTTAAACTCTAACTTTATTCTCTCAGAGCACGCAAGTGGCCCTCTGGGCAAAGTTTATATGCAGCACTTTGCCAAGTTCAGGAAACTGGTATGAATTTAAGTCATTACCATCTGAAAAAGCGCTATTATGATACAAGAGAAAAATATTTGTAAGTTTTACTGCACCTAGTTTGTGACAAGTGCATTGCGTATCTATTCACTGTGCAAATAAGAACGTTGTTTGCCAGCTGCGCAAGGTTGATGCAGGCTAATCCTATCCCTTCAGATTCAACTCCAAATGCCTCCTTCCTTTCCCAGTGTCCTCCTCCTTCAGCCTGATTTTCTTTTCTGTAAATATCCTCCATTACTGTTCCCAGAAATCACACCTTGGGATGCAAAGCTGGAGGAAGATTACTAGGAAAAGTAGGCTGGGTTTGAGATTTGTACTAAATTCATGGTGGGAGTCACACTGAGATGGACGACTGGAAACAGATGGGGCTGTAGAAATGCCTGTAATCTGATAAATTTAAGATGTTCCAGTTGATTAACAAGTAAGAGAGTCCAATACTATGACAGACAGGTTATAGTACTGTTCTTCTGGGAAAAACAGTTAATCAGTGTAGTCACTTAACTAGGAATGAGATGGTGCTTGAATTTTAAAAGCTTTGAGGTTGAGTTTCTCATAATTAATCTCAACTCAGAGGCAGAAGGGGTGGAAGCTTACAGTGCACAAACATAAGGAGCAGGTCAAAGTGAAGTTAAGTGTCAGAAGAAACTTCAGTCTTTTTGGATCAAAGAAAAAAAAAAAGCATGCTGTCAAGAGTAGGCATCTTTCAGAGGCTTTGGGTGCACCCACATAACTCTACAACAGCATGAACATTGAGATCTCAAAATATTTGACATTTACTTTAAGATGATGGCAAGAGAAACAACAGCAGAAGAGGCTGCTTAGGAAATGAATGGAGCTCAAATGTTGGCATACTGAACATCACTGCTGCCATCTTTCTTTGCCAACTTAAATATCTAATCCATCCACTCCTCCCAAATTTAGCAAGCCTCTGAAGGCCTCAGGAGCAAGGGACCAAATTCAAACCCTAATATCCAGTCCCATGCACACCAACAAACATCACCTGGTTTTCCTTTCCCGCTGAAATTATTGACACTACCTTCGAGACCAGCAGGAACAGGAACAGGTTTGCATGACACTGTCCCTAAATTTATGAAAGGAACTACCTTCACAGTACTTCATAAAGGTTAACAACAGCTTTCGGTACATCAGAATAGCTATGGGAATGGTGATGAGATTTAACTGACCAAAGTAAAAATATAGCCTTAGCAATTCAAAGCAACTGCAACTCCCTCCACCAGTACACCTGGGAAGAAATGCTAGGGGCTATTCATGTTTTAAATGAAGAAAAACATACGCAATATCAAGCACAGCATGCCAGAAAATAGTTGGCTGAAGAAAACTTCTAGGGAATCATTTAAGAGAAAAAAAATTTACTATCAGAAGATTTCTGATCAATATTGTAAATGAAAGATTTCTGTCAATTATACTATTGCAATCCCATAGTACAATATTACAAACTTAAATACATGCAAAAAAAAAAATTGCAAAGAAAGTTCAGAGCCTTTGAAGAAGCTATATCCAAAGTAATGGCCACTTTTGTGTGCCTTTTGCCTATTTCAACATGAAATTCATCTAATTCTTTACATGATTTTATACTTACATTTTTGTTATATTATTCTTTGGCTCCAATAATCACTAAAAATGGGACATTAAGATGACTGCTAACCTACTTACCACTTCAGTTGACTCTCAATATCAGTATTTGTTATCATTTTATCTGATGCACAATAGTGGGATTACGTATTTTGGAGTATGTATATAATATTTAATTTTAAGCAAAGAACATAAAAACTCAACAGTGGAGTATTTCAATTTTTTATTACATTTATCTTACTACAGAAACATAATTTCCCCTAAGTTTCAGGTAGTTTGGGTTTTGTTTTGTTTTAATGAGGCTCATATTTCAAATACAAGGTGAAGACTCCTTTTCTTTACAGGATCCAACATCGTGCCTATTATTTTCACATTGCAATTTCTGAGAAATACATGAAATAATTTTTGTTCCCAATTTTTTTTTTTAATTGAGGAACAGCACTTCTAATGTCCGTGGGTAAACTTTGCTTCTGTGGGATGTTAAAGAACTGATGTTCTTATGTATTAGTTTACCCTGCAGTATTTCCTCATCCAGATCAATATTCATGTTTTAGTAACTGAAAACAGTCCTTTACATCCCATGTGCTAGTCAGTTAACCAAACCTCTTCGGCAGTTCAAACATATCATTGCACTCTGGAAAAGATCCATATTTTTAAATGGAAAAAAATAACAGTTGTATTCTTTCTGCTCATGTTTGTATAATGAACAGGTTCTCTGAAAAATGGCATGACTAAAAATGACACCTTCCCAATTGTAAACCAGACAGATCAAGCCTTTGGCCACATTCAACCTCCAACCAGCTAGCCAGCTAGGTAATCCAGCACCTCCCAGAAGTATATGCTTACCTGTATGCCATGTTTCTCATACACATGACATCAAGGAAGATTTGCAAAGACTACTTTAAGTCTGCTTTGTGCCACAGAGATATTCGGCCTTTAAGTGATCAGCGTGGCTCTCTGAGTGCACCACATTTAATATATTAAATAGGTAGGGCTTTTGTACATACATATGTATAATAATACATACCTACAACAGCAAGGGCTCAGAAGTTTAAAGTGAGATTTTATATACTAGTTCATAGCGACTGAAAGCAAAAAGAGTATCTTGCTGTGCAAGATGCCACTACTGAGCACAACAAATACAACTTACATGTAACTGAAGACACATTTTATCTACTAGCTTCAGTTGTTTTATTTCTTCTAGTCTGGATCAAACCACAAGCCTCGATCACATGGAATTCTGTCTATGGGAAGGTATTTCCACATTTTTAACCCTCTGACATCTGCCACAGCTACTGTGATTCAATTTCTGCTCCACCCAAGAAACTATAGGATGTGTAACGGCCGTGAGCATGTAACAGGGAGTGATTTATTATTCTGTTCAGCTAGCTCAGCTAGTTGTATGTTTTCTTATTATTTAGTCATAAAAGGGAGTAAGCTTCAGTTCTCCTGACAGAGTCAATTTAAGTATACCTCCTTCAGATTTTCACAAACTTGAGGCCAGTACAGCCTCATTTTGCTGCTGTATGCCTGCTAATTAGAACTAACGCTATGTCTATTTATAGCCACTTTTTAAAATTATTTTTCCAACGGCAGCTTCTTTAGAGTGAAAATTAAGCTAGGTTGAGGTTGGAGTAACTATATCTAGATCTCTTCTGTTATAAAATAAGATTCTGATTAAGATCATGAAAGAATTTAAAAGGAAATGAAATCTACACAAATATATTCCATCTCCTCAAAACAAGTATTATTATCATTCCTGAAGCATCAAGCTACCACGAAAATAATACAAACAGATGCTGCATTATTCTACAAAATTTCCATTCTGGTTTGCTTGTGGACTGTAAGTTTTGCAGCAACAAATGCTACCAGTAAACAAACATGAAGACAGACATCTTCTGGATGATACTCTCAATCATGAGCTGACGGGGACCAAAATCCACTAGCCACAGGGGCTGCACAGATGTAGCAGCAATAAAGGCTGAATCACAAATCCCCAAACGTGGCTGATCCATCTACCCAGGGCTGAATCTTCATGATAGGTGTACCAATAGCATAGGGAGACATAACAGGCAACTCACAAGTGCCATCTACCCCCTCCCTTGCCAGCTGAGCCACAATGACTGGTTTTATGCTTGTTTTTAGTTTTCACTAAATTTCATTAGTAAAATGTGCTCACTTAAGCCACCTTCTTGATAATCAGATTTCATGGTTGTTTACATTAAAATGCTCTGAATCACAAGATGATAAACTGAAAGCACACACACACCAATTATAATAGCTGGTGCCCTGGGCAGTAACTTGTCTAGCAATGTTTAATAAACTGCTTTAAAAGTGCCCACACCCTTGGTTAGAAGATCAGTTTCTGAAGTAAGCAGGGGAATTTAGTTAAGGAAAAGTATTTCTGGAAAAAACAACGTAAAGAGGGGGAAAAAAATCTTGTTCTATTTTAAATTTAAGACTAAATTTTAACACTCAATTTGTGATTAAATTTGCAGATACTTACTTCATTCTTTCATTCTTTTTCTGATGCCCACTGAATCCATCAGAGAATGATTAAGATGATGAATTTGAATGATAAATGAAAGATGAATCTGTGAACAGTAATTCTACTCATTCTACATTGAAACTATTATAAGAGAGTTCATTTACAGATTTGCGTTTTAAAAAGAAGCTTCATGTAATTTGAGATAACTACTCCTGAAACCAGGTAGGCACACCATCCTTATGTTTTCTGAACATATTGTGAAGATACTACCAATTTTTATTTTCACCATGTTCACCACTTGTTTTTACATATATTTTGAACCTAAGATGGGAGCAAAGAAACAGTAGAGAAATAGTATGAAAACATCTGTCTCAGATTTCATTACAGAACTGCTAAAGAAATAATTCTCTCTTGGGAATTCAAAAAAGTTCAATGATTTTTTTAAAAAAATGTCAAGCAACAACTCTAACTTTTTCATTTTACCATAATAAAGGAAGATTGACCTAACACTTCCATTAGATAACGTCTGGCTAAATTATCTAAAAACCACACATTATGTCCACAGCTACCATTTTGAGAGTGAAAGTTACTCCATACTAAAAACAACTGGGCTCTTTTTATTCTTGGTCCTCTATGAATCATAACTGTACCTAGTAAAAACACTATGGACATCAAATAGATGTGAGAGATATCAAAGTGAAAGTCACTTATTTGGTACCTTGTTCCACCCACTGGCATGAGCAGCTGTCTCTTGTGTGCGCTCTCGATATTCTTGATATGTCACCGGCCTGCAGAAGTTAAACCAACACTGAAAGTTATAAAAGGAAACAAAAGAACAAGAATAAAATAAAATTCTCAGTTTCCAGAGAACAAAATATTTTCACATGTATCACAGCAAATAGTTTTCAAGAGCTAACAGGTCTCACATTTCCGGACATAAAACACCAGCACCAGACAGGGTCAGGAAGGCATCACCTTCTCCCAGTTTCACAATTTCATATAATTGGTTATGTGAATTTCATAATAATTTGATGCTCTACAACTTAAAGGACATTAAATAAATAGGTTCTCTGATATGCTACCAAACATTCTAAGTTCTTGCATATAATATTTTATAATCTAAGACTTTAGAGATAAAAAATTCTACTAAGAAATTTATCTGAGAGATAGAGGCCGATGCAGAGTAAAATTTTAATAAACAATGTAGGCTATGAACCAACACAGACTGCTTGACCACATTAACATTGTGTTAGAGTTGAAGCCTTTATTTGCAAGAAACAGCACTTTTGATCACAAAACCCCCTTCATATTTCTGCAGATAACTCTATTTTAGATTGATCACATCTCTACATCTCTGAATGGGGATGATGAAATTCCTCTCTTCCATAGTCCTTCCTCCATGATGATATAGTATCTTAGAGTCAGTAACGACTTTCTGCCAACTGACAGCAGAAAGATGTACTGCTTCAAAAGTGTTTGTCCTGAGCCAGATCATGGCAAAAGGCAAGTTCAGACTTTAGTTTAAATGGAAATAGTGGTAACTGCTATTGGACAGAAGACTGCTTATAGAACTCCAAGAACCTGTCTTGGTCTAATAGCCTACTGTACCACAACATACTTGTTTATATGCACATAAGAGGACAGGAAAATATAAGCAAAATAAGTATTGCATCAGATAGCACTACTGTAGCAAACATGGGTAAAAGAACAGAGTTAAAGCACACTGGGGAAAACATAATTCCGATTTGTCATTTTAAGTGCATTCTCTTAACTTCTTTGGTACGTTAGTTCCTTTAAAACACAAATCCAAATCAATCAGTGGAATGAGAAAAGCAACAACAGCTGCAGGAAGGATATTATCAAGAGATTAAACAGTAGCTCTAGTTTGCCTTATAAAAAGGCATGTGTCTCAACATGTTTTCACAGGCATTTCAGACTTTATATGTATGTATGTACGTACATATATAAATAAAAAAACAAACTTAGAATGCAAACATTTCCCTAC